GAACTCATGTAGTCACTGTCACCATCTCTGGGTCCTCTCCTTTCTCCCGTTCAATCAGCTGGGCTAGCCAGCTGTGCGCATGATCGTGTCAGAGACAGAACAGAAAGCAGAGCGAGACCATAGACTCCCTTTTGTCTCTGAAAATCTTTAAAAAGCTGAAAAGAATCTCTTAGTGGAAAGACAGAATAATGTGAAGGAGGAGGGTGATGATTCTTCCCAAACTAGAAAGGTACCTCCCAAGGACAGCAGGAGACACGTTCTGGACCAGGGGAACCCTGACACTGATTTTTAACACCATGGGGGGCGGGGGATGAATGCCTGGGATTTATCTAAGGAGAGAATCCATATGATCACATAGACCTCATTCAAAACCAAAGACCGACCGACCAAACAAAAAGGCCGTTTCCACCCCCCGGGTGCACAGCATGGCTGTGGCAGGGAGCAGTCAGGATGAGTCCTACAGAGGTGCTGGGATGGGGCCAACTGATGCTTCTGGGGTGCTTGTTGGGGACCACTGACCTACTGTAACTTTCCCTCATGGCTTGCTCTATAATGATGGCATCATCCAGAGACATATTATGAGTGTCTTACTATAGCTGGGTATGGTGCCTTTAATCTCAGAACTTGTGAGTTTCGGGTCAGCATGGACTACACTGGGAGTTCTAGGCCTGCCTAGACTATATAGTAAGACCCTTTCTCAAAAGACAAACAAAACCCCAACAAACAAAAAAGAACGGCATACTAAATTTCTTGATAGCCCAGCTGAATTGGATTGGAAGGTGGAGTTCAAAGTCAAAATGAATTTATACTGAGATTTTTTTCATATGTTTGAATTTCTGGGTTATTTAAATATAAGATAATTATAATGATATTATTGAATACTGTGCTGGACAATGTTTAACAGATTATTTCTGTTAATCCTCATAACAACACTATAATGTTTGTTATATTAACATGTTATATTAACAACCCTTTAACATGATTACTAATGGTATTATTGTCTCCAGTTTTTATATTACAAATGAACAAGGTTTGATGAAATTAATTAACAATTACAATGTCCCCAAAGCTTAAAAGTGTTAGAGCTGGGACTTGGCCCAGTCTGTCAGGATAGCTACTGATATAGCACGGATCTCAGGGACTGGGAAACTACAGTCTGGGGGGGTAGGGGGGGAAGTAAGGGGGAACAATATCATTCTGATTCAATTGTGAAGGGCAACTATTTGTCACTTTCCACAAAATAATAGTCTTATAACTTGGGAATAAGCCTCGTTTCTTATAAGATTTAAGCCCAGGGTGATCTTGGTACCAGTCTACAATTCCTAAAGCTAGATGTTCTAAAGCTAGATGATCAAATTGCAGGACAGAAATGGCCTTAACAAGGAGAGACAACTTCCCTTTTCCTCAGTTTTGCTCTTTCCCATAATGCTGTGCCAAAATCTCCGGGTTTCTACCCAGGACAGATTTCCTAGCTAGCCCAGAGCCACTCACCATCCAGCTTTTTCAGCTTCGGGACTCTCTTGGTCGCTTCATCGATCCAGTTACCCTCAGCAGAGTGCTTCTCCTCCAGGGGATTGCCCACGAACACCAGGTCTTCCAGGCACGGCAGTTCCGCCAGCTTCACAAACTCCGCTGCAAACACAAAGAACGCTGTCCACACCGAGAGACGGGGTCACATGCTTACGGTGTTGGAGGCAGCAGTCAGTCACTAACTCCACTTGTGACTGCAGGACAGGGCTTTAAGATGTGAGGAGAAGGGAAACTTGACTATAGAAAGTCATCGTGTGGGGGAATTATGGGATGGGAGGGGAAATGAAGACTTGCTCTTCTACCTTCAATGCTGCTCTAATGTCGGGTGAACAGAGAAGGGTCAGTGTCAACAAGAACAGTAAATATCTGAGGCACTGCGTCAGAACAGGCTGAGCCAAGCTGCCTTGGTCTCTGAATTCTCGAAGCAACTCATTCAAGTCCTTATTACAGAACTTACAACAGTTTTAGAAACATGATTGTATTGAACATTTCCCTCTCAGCTGTGAACTGAGTGGGTGGAACAATGTTCCCGTTCTACATGGTATACACAGCATGGTGTTAGAACACCCCGAAAGAATAACATGCACATAGAGGCAAGGCAAAGTAGGCATGCAGTCAGCCTTCCACATTTATTCATTGAGATGGCACTCTTCAGCCTTTGGATAATACACTTTTTCATGATCAACAGGGCCAGGACCCATATTCACTGTAAGTCAATGTGTACGTGTGTATGCATGTGTGCATGCGCACACACATGTGCATGTCTGTGTGGATGTGGAAACCTGAAGTTGGCATTAGGTGTCTACCTCAAATCCTCTTTACTTTATTCTTTCAAGTAGGATCTGTCACTGAACATGAGCTTACTGATTCAGCTTGGTTGACTGTTCATCAGTCCCCAGGATCCCCCTGTCTCCACCTCCACACCACCACTTGGATTATATACTTCTTGTATTTTTTTT